CCCGAACACCGCGGCCCCTCCCACCCCGCGAAGACCCCGCCCCTTTCCGGAGGCCACGCCCACCTGCGCTCTGCAGGGAGGCGCCGATCTCGCGCTCCAGCTCCTCCAGCGCCCGCAGCCGCTCGTTGGCCACGCCGAACCCCGCCATGCCGAACCCCGCCGCTTCCGCCGCCTCTCGCTCCACTTCCGGTTCTCTTCACCAATGGCAGCGCGGGGTTGCGATCACGTGACGGGAGGCGCCCGCTTGGGGCCGCTCTGGGCGGAACTCAGTGGTGGCGCCGCCCCTTCCGGCGGCCGCTCTGCGTCAACTCTGTGTTTTTGGGTCCTCCAAGGTGGTTTAGCATCAAAATCCCCCCCAAAACCGCCCCAAAACCGTCCGGAATCGCCTCAAAATCACTCCCAGCTCCGTCACCAGGGTTTATCCACCGCAAAGCCCCCACGGCGCCCTCGATCCCCCTCAGACTCAGCTCCGGAGGACGGAGGAGAACTGGAGCGGGGGGAGGGATTCAGGCGGCCTTTTAGTGCGCTTTATAAAAATCCTCACCAGGCCACGCCCCTCATTGCCTTTTATAGACGTGGGTCTTCAGGCCACGCCCCTCATTGCCTTTTATGGACCTGGTGTCCCCAGGCCACGCCCCCACTGCCTTCTATAGAGGTGCTTTCGTTCAGGCCACGCCCCCTCATTGATTGTACAGCGCCATTTACTAGGCCACGCCGCCTCATTTCCTTTTACGGATGTACTTTTATCCAGGCCACGCCCCTCATGGTTTAAAATGACATTCCAACCAGGCCACGCCCCTAATTACCTTTTATGGTCCTTTTTCCTCCAAGCCACGCCCCTAGTTACCTATTATAGCCTCACTTTCCCCAAACCACGCCCTTTATTTCCATTTTTAGCCCCATTTCCCCAAACCACGCCCCTTTATTTCCATTTTTAGCCCCACTTCCCCAAACCACGCCCCTTTATTTCCTTATTTAGCGCTGCTCCCGAAGCCCCGCCCCCCTCCCCTCACGCAGGCCCCGCCCCCGGTTTTCCCGCGCGGTGACGCCATCGGAGCGCGCCGGGGAAGGAGCGGCGGCCATGGCGGCGGTGGCGGCGCCGCGGGCCCCTCCGGCCGCGCCGCTGCTCGAGGATGTCACAGACACACCTGGGGATGTCACAGACACACCTGGGGACACCGGGGACACAGCTGGGGGGGTCCCAGGGGGGTCCCACCCCCCATTTTTGACCAATTTCCACCATTTTTAGGGCTTTTTTTGGCTTATTTCAATCGGGACAATTTGGGGAGGGTCTCTGTAATTTGGGGAGGGGTCCTGACGGGTTTTGGGCCCCCCCAGTCGCAGGGCCCCCCTCCCACGGTGGCCCTGGGGGTGTTTGGGGGGTCCCACGCCCCATTTTTGACCATTTCTCACCATTTTTTGGGTGGTTTTTTGGGTTATTTCAATCGGGACAATTCTGGGAGGGTCTCTGTAATTTGGGGAGGGGTCCTGACGGGTTTCGGGGCCCCCCCAGTCGCAGGACCCCCCTCCCACGGGGGCTCTGGGGGTGTTTGGGCAGTCCCACGCCCCATTTTTGACCAATTCTAATGAATTTTTAGAGAATTTTTCAGAGGTTTTTGGGGTTGTTTTAAATGGGGGAACTCCGGGGGGTCTCTATAATTTGGGGAGGGGTCCTGACGGGTTTCGGGGCCCCCCCAGTCGCAGGACCCCCCTCCCACGGGGGCTCTGGGGGTGTTTGGGCAGTCCCACGCCCCATTTTTGACCAATTCTAATGAATTTTTAGAGAATTTTTCAGAGGTTTTTGGGGTTGTTTTTAATGGGGGAACTTTGGGGGGTCTCTATAATTTGAGGAGGGGCCCTTATGGGTTTCTTGGACCCCCAGTGGCAGGACCCCCCTCCCACGGTGGCCCTGGGGGTGTTTTGGGGGGTCCCACACCCCACTTTTGACCAATTTCCATCATTTTTAGGGCTTTTTTTGGCTTATTTCAATCGGGACAATTTGGGGAGGGTCTCTATAATTTGGGGAGGGGTCCTGACAGGTTTCGGCCCCCCCCAGTCGCAGGATCCCCCCTCAGGGTGTTTGGGGGGTCCCACGCCCCATTTTTGACCAATTCTAATGAATTTTTAGAGAATTTTTCAGAGGTTTTTGGGGTTGTTTTTAATGGGGGAACTTTGGGGGGTCTCTATAATTTGAGGAGGGGCCCTTATGGGTTTCTTGGACCCCCAGTGGCAGGACCCCCCTCCCACGGTGGCCCTGGGGGTGTTTTGGGGGGTCCCACACCCCACTTTTGACCAATTTCCATCATTTTTAGGGCTTTTTTTGGCTTATTTCAATCGGGACAATTTGGGGAGGGTCTCTATAATTTGGGGAGGGGTCCTGACAGGTTTCGGCCCCCCCCAGTCGCAGGACCCCCCCTCAGGATGATCCTGGGGGTGTTTTGGGGGGGTCCCACACCCCACTTTTGACCGATTTTCACCATTTTTTGTGCATTTTTCGGGGTTTTTCTGGGTTGTTTCAATCGGGACAATTTGGGGAGGGTCTCTATAATTTGGGGAGGGGTCCTGACGTGTGTCTTGGATCCCCCAGTCGCAGGACCCCCCTCCCACGGTGGCCCTGGGGGTCTCGGTGCTGCGGGAGCTGCTGCGCTTCTCGGCGCAGCTGCCGGAGCTGGCGCGGGACATCGGCACCAACCACATCCCCGGCATCCTCACCTCCCTGCTGGCCCTCCGGCCCGAGGTCTGCGCGCTCCAAATGGGTCTGGGGGCTTCGGGGGGGTCGGGTTGGGGGCGTCGCCAGCGCCCGCCTGGGCTCCATGAAGACGCGGTGAGTGACAGCCCCGCCGGCCAATCGCAGTGCGGGGCCTGCCCCACCCCACTCCTGATTGGCTGCCGTGCAGGGCTGAGTGGGAGCCAATGGAAATGCAGCGTGGGGGCGGGGCCAGCGCGGCAGCCAATGGGAATTGTTCTCCGGGCTGCCATTGGGTGGGGAGGAGCCAATCAGGGCGGGTTTTAGCTCTGGGGGTGGGGCAGCCAATCAGGAGGAGGGGGTGTGGCCTCTTAGCACACCATGATTGGCTGGTTTATTGTGGGCGGGGGTTTGAGCAGCCAATCAGGTGTTTCCTTTGCTGCATGACTAATTAGGGTGGGTCGGGCTTGTCTGTGATTGGCTGCTGGGTGTGGAGTGGGTGTGGCTTCACTCCAGCCAATCAGATTCAAATTAGCAGCCACACCCTGCCCTGGGATGCCCTTATAAGGAAAGCGGGTGGGGTTTGGCTGTCAGCAGCCAATGAGAGCTGTGGGCAGGGCCAGGGTGGGCGTGGCTT